TGTATTCTTAACAAAGCCATGCCTACAAAAAGCGTGTTTTTAAAATTTATCCATTGACCCCTGCTTTTTCCCAGGGTTTCTGTCATAGAACATAAGGTGGTATCACATTGGAAAATAAGGCAGGCCTTAGACTTAGCAAAATTTTAGTCTGGTGAATAGATTTCATTCTTATCAACTCCCCATCTTTACATAGTAATTGATTCAATGTTTGTGTAATATTCAACACTGGATAAGATCCAATATCCAAACCATTACTGAGTTTGTTTGTTTACATAATGCTAACCAGTGACTTTATAAACAAATCTGCAGACTCAGTGGAGTAGACATCCCCAGAGTACCATCTCTACTTGTTCTCTATGGTATGCTAATTGTCATGCAGTCACCCCCATGAAAATGCAAAATGGTATAGTCTAAAAACTTTTCAGACTTTTGTTTATGGCACAGTGCAAAAGTTAATGGTATTTGCTAGACAGTATTCCTCAATTTTTTTACTCCAAAATATTGTTTGAGCAGCCGACCGTGAAATGAGTTAAGAAACCACTCTTGAGAAACTTGGTGCAAATGACCCAGAAAAATTTCTAAAAAATACCAGTGGTAAAATATTTGCATTAGGGTTCTTGTCAACAGAACACAACATTATAAATGATAATGGTTCGAAAAATTACAAAATGACTGCTGCAACTATATTTATATAAATATCCAAATTTAGTATTTCACCAACCGCCCCTAAAGATGCTAACATTCTTTTATTCAGAGTACAAAACTGTGTACCATCTTAGTCGAAATAGTACACATAGGTTTTTGGGATGCAACTAGTTATGCTCATTCCCTGGCACACTAATGATGCATCAAGTTATGCTCATTCCCTGGCATACCAATGATACAACTAGTTATGCTCATTCCCTGGCACACTAATGATGCTGCAACCAGTTATGCTCTTTTCCTGGCAAACCATTGATGCAACTAGCTATGCTCATTCTCTGGCACACCAATGATGCAACTAGTTATGCTCATTCCCTGGCACACCAATGATGCAACTAGTTATGCTCATTCCCTGGCACACCAATGATGCAACTGGTTATGCTCATTCCCTGGCACACCAATGATGCATCTAGTTATGCTCATTCCTTGGCACACAAATGATGCAACTGGTTATGCTCATTCCCTGGCACACCAATGATGCAACTAGTTATGCTCATTCCCTGGCACACCAATGATGCAACTAGTTATGCTCATTCCCTTGCACACCAATGATGCAACTAGTTATGCTCATTCCCTGGCATACCAATGATGCAACTAGTTATGCTCATTCCTTGGCACACCGATGATG